GGGCACCATCTAGCTGTACTGGACTCAGTCCGGTGGAGGCCTTGGTAGCTGTGGACAGTTAGTCCTTCGGACTAATCTTTTTAAGGAGACTATTTTAAGAGATTTATCAAATATCTAAAGCACGCATAAACAAACAGAAAACCAAATCTGTTGCCATTGAGTTGATTCTGACTCACAGCGACCCTGTAGGACAGAGTAGAACTGACCCATAGGGTTTCCAAGGAGCAGCTGGTAGATTCTAGCTGCCAACCTTTGGTTAGCAGCCAAACACTTAACCACTGCGTAAAATCATTTGGAAGAACCAATTACTGATGATTCTAAGAATTGTGCTGTTATTAGTAAAGTAAATACTAGAAGTAATATGGGTTTGTGAAATATCTAACCTATAGGCAGTAGAACCTGATGAAGGACTTGAAGAGGAAATCCCAGATTCACCAGGAATAGAAAAGCACGACAAAGAAAAGGACCATAAGGAACCTAAAAAGCTTCGTCGTAAGTTGTTGTTTTCTGTTTTGCTAATGATTTGAGTGAGCTTGTTTTCTTAGATTTCAGATATTTGAAACAATATATAAAAGCTGAGTGTAGTCTCCAGTGTTATAAGAAAGTTACAATTAACTATATAGTTACAATCTCAGTGTTTCAGTTCTCTCTCTTCTTAACTCCTTATTTTTCATCCTCATAGTATGCATCCCAACAGTGTTACATCGTATAAACTTTAAACTATTACAGTACTTCAGGAGTAGAAAGATGTATTCTAATGCTCTTCTGTTGAGGCCTCTAGGGAGCTGAACTTTATTGACTTAAAAATATACAGTTAATATTGAATGTTTAAGATTCTACATAGCATCCACTACTTTAAGAAGTCAGAAGTCATGGATCATATACCATAGTTCCCTGCTGGGCATGAGGCAGCCATCTGTGTAAATAAGGTGTGTCTGTGCGTGTGCACAAGTACATGCACACGTACTTCCAGATCATGTACCCAGAGAAGACCATAGTGAGAGTCAGCAGCTTTGGTAATAGCATTTTCTAATGCAGCACCTGTTTAAATGTTTAAAGAGTCATAAACTGTGCCTCTTCACTTTGATCAACCTACTTTAACAAATCCACATTTAACTCTGGTAATTTTTTGGCCTTCAAATTAATTGAATAACTAGAAAATCAGGTCTACTTTTGTTCTCCCGCATGCTGCTGAAGTTTAGAGCTGTTACTGACATGGTCACAGGTAACAGTGTAAGCACATGAAAATGTGATTATTTTTATTCTTTATTAATATATTGTTTATGCTCTCAACTTCCCCAAAATAGCTATTTTCAAGGAATTTACTTTTTGTATTTTTGTTATTATAACCAAATAAATGAATAAATTCAGTACTAAAGGCAGTGCATCTTTGTGATTAAAACTGTCAGTTAAGGAAGCAACTATATTTTCCAGATGGTCTCATTCTTAGCTCACAGTAAAAGTAGTTATGATGAGACTTAGCTTAAAGTACAGATAATTTTGATGATTGTGTATACGTAGCCAACCTCCTAATTCAGTTAAGGAGAGGAATTTTTTTGTTTGTTTTATAGATTTTTTTTTTAGGCATTTTACCTTCCAAAACTGATAGTCAAAGAAGATAAGTAGTATCATTTGTGAAATACTGAATATAAATTAGCATAACGTAGGGATATCTTGCTGCATATACCAAAAAAGGTAGTTTTGAGTCAGTTTTTAGTGATGGAAATGAATTGTTTTGTTTTTTATAACTTTGAAATTGGGTCTGTATTAGTTTGATTCTTTTACATGTTACTCTCAAACTACATTAAAGTTTGAAAAACTGAAATTGTACTGTGATTTTTACATATGAGATTGCTGTGTTTTGAGTGTAAAGTAGAAAAACTTTGTTATCAAAAAAGTTTCTATTTTATGAAGTGCTTAATATCTGTCTGTTTTAAGCCATGAAAGTATCTAGCGTAGATTCTTCGGAACAGAAAAAAACCAAGAAAAACTTAAAAAAGTTTCTTACACGACGCCCCACTTTGCAAGCTGTTCGTGAAAAAGGTTATATTAAAGGTAGGTAGGAGAAGTGATGTTTATAGTGATGAATTATGGCCAAAATCAGAAAGAAGACATTTCAGATTAAACACTGAAAACTTGCCGATCAGTAAAAATGTTCTTAATCTTTATTCATCAAGTTTTTAGTTACAGTGACTAAAGTTTTATTTGAATAATTAAAATTGATTTTTTATGTTTATTTTCACTGAAGCACTGGATAGACGTAAATACCAAACTAAGTTCTTAGAAAACCTGTGTCAGAGAAGCTGCACTGATGGGATGGGTAGCAGATGTTTAGAAGTCATGACAATGAAGAGTTTTAGTTTTGAGATGCAAAGGTCAGAAGAAATTAGAAATTTTTAATAAACGATCACTAAGAAAGAGTCTCTGGGTGGTGCAAACAGTGAACACACTCTGTTGCTAACCAAGTCCACCCAGAGTTGCCTGCGACCCAGAGACACCTCAGAAGAAAGGCCTGGTGATCTACTTCTGAAAAGTCAGCCATTGAAAATCCTGTGGAGCACAGGTCAACTCTGACACACATGGGGTGGCCATGAGTAAACTTGGCTCCATGGCAGCTAGTAACTGGTGACTACTAAGAAAGGAGAAAGAGGAAAATAATGAACAAATCTATTTTATTCTGGATTGTTTGCCTTCAGTTATCACTGAAAGTAATTTTAAAATTAGTATATGATTTTTTTCTGATTATATATTTTTTATTTCACTTATAAATACCAAAATATACTAATGGGATGTTTTCTTAATAAGAAAGAACTCTTTAAAAAAATCTCATATACCTGTAATTGTTATAGGCATAAGTTTAAATTCCTCAGGTAAAGTTTTCTAATAGATGACTCAAAACAGTGACATATATTCATAAATAGAGACATATGTTAAGGTGATATATAATGTTTATGTTATATCTGTCTCTGATTATGAAGTTTCTAACAAAGATGTACGTCGTCAGTACATCTGTTTTTTTTTTAATTGTTGTTACTGTGCTTTAAGTGAAAGTTTACAGTTCTTTAGTCTCTCATGCAGAAATTTTACACACATTGTTGTGTGACCCTAGCTGCTCTCCTTGTACTTTGACGGCACACTCCTCCTTTCCACTCCGGATTTCCTGTGTCCGTTCAACCAACTCTGTCCCTTTTTGCCTTCTCATCTCGCCTCTGGACAGGAGCTGCCCATTTATCTACTTGGGCTAAGAAGCACACTCTTCACGAGTATCATTTTATGTCTTAGCGTCCAGTCTAATCTTTGTCTGAAGAGTTGGTTTCGGGAATGGTTTTCGTTCTGGCCTACCGGAGAGTCTGGGGGCCATGTCTTCTGGGGTCCCTCCAGTCTCAGTCAGACCATTAAGTCTGGTCTTTTGACTAGAATTTGAGTTCTGCATGGGAGGTTAGACGCATTTACTTATCTTTTGCTGATTGAGTGTTGCTTTTCACTGGTTCTGGAGGCCTGAGTAGACTCTCCACCACTCAGTCAGTCTTGATGTGGAAAACACCTCCCAAGCGTCACTGCTTGCCTCACCGGGCACGCCAGCTGATCCGGCCCGAAGGGTGCCGGTTCCCACCGGCTCAGGTCAGGCAACTCCTCACTGCTTCTGAACTCTCTCTCCCTCCCTCTGCCACTCAGTCTGATTCCTCAACTTCGCCTTTGATATTCAGGGCTCCTAGATTGTCATATGTAATCAGTTCACTTATTTTTTCGGGAGTTTGTTGTAAGAGGGACCACAGGAAGCGTCTTGACTACTCCACCATCTTGGCCCCACCTCAGAACATCGGTTTTTAAATCATCTAAATTAAAGTACCCAAATGAGTGTCATTTAAAAAGTATTTAAAAGATGTCTAGAACAGTTTGCCTAATGGGGTGATTCAGATTAGCAACCGTAAGAGTTGTGGATAAACAGGTACTCCCAAATAAAGCATGTGAATTTAGTATATTGAGCTTTGGACCTTTAAAAAAATAAAATAGCGTGACAAATAAATGAACAGAAACTACTGCTCATTTGTTCAGTAGTCCTTTTCATTGAGAAGTCTAAACTGCTGTCACTGTATGGCTTTATAGAGCACTTCAGATATTTTGTTTGTTTTCCTGAATATTTAGCACTGATGTGGAATTTCAAAACTGTTGTGTTGGAAGATTAATAGAACTACCTTTGGAATATATTTTGTGAAATCAAGTGTTGGCACATAACGGACACGCACATGCTTGATTTAATAGTTTTAAAAGTATTTGAGTGTTTATTAAGTGCTAGTCATGATCCTAGCCACAGTGAACACCCACTGTTGTTCAAGAATTACAAGGTCCTGGCCCTCATGACATGTGTGTTCAAGTGGGAGACAGACGGTAACGAGTAGACGAGGTAATTCAAGGTGGGGATGATTACCTGAGGAAACTAAGATGCTCATAAAGTAGAGCATGACTAGGACTGAGTTCTCTCAGACTTGGCAGAACTTGGTCTAAGATGATGACGTTCGGCTGAGACTGGGAGTGATGAGGAAGAGCCGAATTTAGGGGAGAGTGCTCTCTGCAGAGGAATAGAAAATACAGATGCTCCCAGGCAAGAATGAGTCAGGGTGTTCATGGAGCTTAGTAGAGAAGAATGGTATGATGTAAAATGGAAGAGGTAGCAGAGTGCAGATCATGTAAGGTGTAAGTCATCGTAAGGAATTGCACTGGTTTAATCATTTTGTGAACTAAATTTTGGCAAGGTGGTTTGTTTTTAAAATTAAATCTCTTTCAGATCAGGTATTTGGATCCAATCTTGCTAATCTGTGTCAGAGAGAGAATGGCACAGTACCAAAGTTTGTGAAGTTATGCATCGCACATGTTGAAGAACACGGTAAGAAAATGATGTTTGGTTTTTTTGTTGTTGTTTATTTGCATGAAGCAAACCAACTTACTGTTTTGCTGTCAAAATCCCTAGAATTTTTATGATTTAGAGTGATGAAATCACAAGTTCCCTGTAGTCACAAGGTAAGATGTTAAGAAAAGCATCTTGTTGCAGAAAACTTACATGTTTGCACCTGTTTCAAATTAAGACCTCTGCAGGCACCTATTGAGTGTTACTGTAAATGATCGATTAAGTGTATGGTATTCCTTGAAGCCATTTGGACTTGGCATTGCCTTAAGACAAAGAAGGTGGTAATTTTGAAACTGAGTTTAGTAAGAAGTGGTTTTTGACAGTGTAGAAGATATGAGGAGATTGTGTTTACTACAGAGAAGCTTCTTTTGTTTATAACAAAAATGAGATGACATTTTAAAACTGTTAAATCAACTGTCAGGTGTCTAAGTAGATCCTTTTTATGTCATTCCCTGTAAAATAAAATCGAACCTAATTTCTATTTTGGTTTATTTTAGCAGTTATGATATTTATACTAGTTTTATATAAATTAGCAATATATTGACTGTATCACATTAACTTATCTATATATCATCAAAAATGTCTGTACAATTAAAATAGTTGCATAATTTAATGCCTGCTGGTCACAAATCTCTTTTCTCAGTGAATCTTCCTGTCACTGTGACAGTAGGAGCACCAAGCTGCTTGTCTTTATGTGAAGTTAGATGAATAGCACATTAGAATGCTTGAGTTTTTAAGGCTCACTTGTGTGAGTATCAACTGATTTCTCTGTTTCACCTTCGAAAGAAAAGAATAAGCTCTACATCAAATTACCAGTTGTTCCTGTGGGACCACTAGTGAAATTGCTAACTTATATTGGATTTATTACAAACACTTAATATGACACACACTTTCAAGAGAATGCTTTAAAAGCTGCATTTACATTATAAAATGGTATGCAAAATAGAGTGGGCTGATTTTATCTATGACTTTCTTTACTTTTTGAACTATCCCAGAGTGTTTGCAGAAGTTTATCTTAAGTTGTTAGTATTTCAAGTTTAATGGGATGATTGTTTTGAACAGATTCACAGTCAACGTCATAAACACAGTAGAATTATTGCCATTTATTAAACAGAATTCACAGTGAATCTCCATCTCCCTCCCCCTGGCAAAGCATCTATAAAAAGCCATTTAGAGAGAGAGAGTATTTGCCCATTTGATTTTAGGCTAGTGCTCATGAGTAAGAATTCTGAAACGTGCAAGCATCTTTAGAGAGACAAACAAGTACTTTAAGCATAAAAAATCCTTTTGTCTCTTAGGTTTGGATGTCGATGGGATATACAGAGTAAGTGGCAACCTTGCAGTGATACAGAAGCTGAGATTTGCAGTCAATCATGGTGAGGTTATAGTTCCTGTTGTTTTATCCAGAATAATCACTCATAACTGTTAAAACTGGCTTAAAGTAATTTTTTTAAATTTCCTATTTCTGCTGTTTTTCAGATGAGAAATTGGACTTGAATGATAGTAAATGGGAAGATATTCATGTCATCACTGGCGCACTCAAAATGTTTTTTCGAGAATTACCAGAACCTCTTTTTACATTTAACCATTTTAATGATTTTGTTAACGCAATTAGTAAGTATGTAATTCACTCAGTTTGTCCTAGGCATTGAAAATCCTCTGCACAGATTAAGCCAGCATACTCTGTTTGATCTTTCCTATTTTTTCAAAGGATTATTTTACTTCAGAAATTTAAAATGTGACCACCAGATGTCACTGTGTATTCCCAAATATCATCCTCCAAACTTACTGCTTTCAGTTTCTTAAGAACGTACTGCAGAATCTTTAGTTACTGTCTCGTTTCAGAACAAGAACCAAGACAACGAGTTGCTGCTGTTAAGGACTTAATCAAACAGTTGCCAAAGCCAAATCAAGACACAATGCAGATTCTTTTTAGACACCTCAAAAGGTAAGAGAACTGTACAGATACGAAATGTAGGGGGCACGTGGGATTGGGGTCGATCAGACCCAGCTTCAGAGCTCAGCTCTGCCACTTACTATCTTCATGACTTGAAAAATATACTCAACGACTGTGAGCCTCCGTTCCTCCTGGGTAAAGTGGTTTGGTGCGAAGAAGACGTTAAATCAGGTAGTAGATGTGAAGCATTTATCTATTGCCCGGCACATAGTAGGTATTTAAAAATTGTTGTTAAAGTTCATTAATGCAAAGATGAGTTTAGTTATTGAATGAGTTCCACTGGTTACCCTAAAATGGAAGTTATTAAATGAGGTATAAGTGTTGGAATTGACTCGATGGCACACAACAAAATCAACGTACTAAACTAACCCTAAAATGGAAGGCGGGAAGTCAATCAGTGAACCATTAAAGAGCTCATTAAAGAGCACTAGAATAGTAAAATTATCCCAGTAAGAGAGATTTTTGACAAAGTAAAATGAATAAAATTGAAAATTTATTTTCTGTGCCCTAATGAGTTTTTTTCCCATGAATTAAGTGACGTAATCATTGATACAGGAATAATAACTCATATTTACATCTATGTACTGTTTTAAAACTAAGCAGAAATATCACGCATTTAAAGTTTGTTAGAGAGTAAGGGGACATGGTGGTTCAGTGGTAGAATTCTCACCTTGCAGGAGACCTGGATTTGATGACTGGCCAGTGCACCTCAAGCACAGCCACCACCTATCCGTCGGTGGAAGCTTGCATGTTGCTGTGATGCTCGAGATCTCGGCAGAGCCTCCAGACTAAGACAGACTAGGAAGAAAGGGCCAGTGTTTACGTCCAAAAAAATCAGCCGATGAAACCCCCATTGTTCACACCGGTTTCATCTCGTTGTGTGTGGGGTCGCCAGGAGTCGAGGGCTGGCTAGACGCAGCTAATAACATGTATAATTATATCTTTAAGCTCTGTTTATCCGTAAGAAAGCTTCCCGAGGCATTTGTACTGAATTCTACTTGTGTCACCTAAGAAAAAAGAGTATTATTTCTCTTTTCAAAATACAAACTGTTACGTTTGTAATACAATTTGAAGAATTTTCTCCCTCTCTTTTATATTTTCTGCTTTAACAACTTTTTTTTTCCTTCCCTTTAGAGTTATAGAAAATGGAGAAAAAAATCGAATGACCTGTCAGAGTATAGCAATTGTTTTTGGTCCTACTCTGTTAAGGCCCGAGAAAGAGACTGGTAATATAGCAGTTCATACTGTGTACCAAAACCAAATTGTAGAATTAATTCTTCTGGAATTAAGCTCCATCTTCGGACGCTGATTCTTACTGAAGACAGAACCTGTGGAGTAGAAGCTGGATTCCATCAGATTTCAAATCTTTATACATGATGTATTTTCTTTTTGGACCAAGCAGTGACTCTTTGATTTTGCACTTTTTTGAGGGATTAGAAGGGAAGGGGGAAGCCTCAAGATGTGTGTTAGGCCCTCATATTTGCTGCTTTGTTGCAAGTTGATATAATGTGTATGTAATTTTGGATTAGTTTTATCCTGAGTGTTTGAATTTTAGTAAAAATCAAAACTTGCAGTTGTAACCAGGCATCTATACACTGGATAATTTGGTAAGAAAACTACATTTTTGTTTTTTCTTAAACTGGATAATACAGAATTTTTTTTTTATGACTTGTAGGGTCATCATGTATAGGTTTACCACTTGATAGGAGTAGTATCAGTTATTTTCAAAACACTCTTGGGCATTTTAAACAAAATGAAGTATATCCGTTCTGAAACCTGTGTATTTCTTCTTCGGGGTTTCTGCATGCAGTGGCAGTGTGAGTGCTGACGTTCATCGTAACCCAGATAGAATCCCCTGGTGAAGGCTTGCTGTCTTCCACTTGTTGCACAGCATCCTTCCTGGATAGCTTTGCTTGTTTGTGCACACACTAATAAATACTACATTGAACACTGTGACATACTGGAGAGGTTAGTTAGCAGAAGTCAATTCAGGGTATTTTTAGGCTGTGTGTGCTACACTGAATTGTAGCTAACAGTTCTCATTATATCTAGTGCCATACTGAGCTCTTAGTAGGACCCTATGGAAATGGATGTTATTTGTTGTAAATACATGCTAAAGACTTAATGCCCTTTAGCTTATGTATATAATTGTGTTGTATAGTCTCAGTACATTCTAACCCTACATTTCTAATCATGGTATAGGTATTGCTGTAGGTGATCTTTTCCATGAATATTAGGTTTCCTCCAGAAATAGGCTGTTATTTGGGGAAGTAACTGTGTGCACTTTTAGATTTTAATTACATTTACAGGCAAATCACTGTAATGTTAATGGTACTGGAAAAATACTGAATAGACTTGCTAAATGGTAAATGCACTACAAGAGGAACCTTTTAGATTATTTAACATGTACAGAATACATTAGAAAAATTTATTACAGAGTTCTAACTCTACAGTATGAATAGTGGAAGCCCATATATAAATTAGATGGATGTTGGATAGAAAATGACATTGCTAAATTTGAGAATTTCTTTTTACATTACTAATGTAGATTGATTTGTATAATAAAACAGGGTTTGGAAGGTTTTGTTACAGGGAGCATGGTCAGTTGAAGATTTTTTAAATGTATTTTTCTAGATTAACTGCTGTATATGAAATGTCTAATCTGAATAAAGAAAACTATAAGAAGCTTAGAGGTTTTTCCATTGGAAATGTGCTTTTTTTTTTTTTTTGGCGTTTACTGGCATACTCTTATACCTCATTTTAAAAAATCAACTGAATCTGATATTTCCTGTGGCAAATATATTTTTCTTATTTCACACCTTTTCTCCTCCCTGCTATGCCATCACTCTCTTCTGTCCCTACACGTTTTTATTTCTTCATCAATGCTTGGAAGTGACTGATTGTAACCAAGACTCTGTTTATTAGGATTGCATTTATGATTTAAAATTAGGATTGCCTTCCTTGGGAAAAAATATTTTATGTGGTATGTTGAAAAACCTCTCACCTGAGTTTTGTGGTAAAAATATTGTGTTTATTATTGTGATCTTGTTAAATTGATAACAAACCAAGTACTTGATAGGTGTAGGAAAGCAGATTGTTTCAGGCAGGGAGAAAAAGCCTCAAATCAAAATGTTTATTTTTCCATAAAGATGCCCTGCAATATGCTTTAGGACTGGAATATATAGTTAATTGCGTACCAGGAAAACAGACTCTTGTCAGTGACATTCTTCCCCTCGGCCGTCATGGAAATACCAGAGATTAGAACTGTCCTGTGTTTCTTGTTTCGGAGTACGTGTATGTATGTGAGTCTTAACTCTTTTCTCAGTCACTGGCTAATCGGTATGTTGTACTGTTGTATGTACAGTGTGATCAGTGTCTTGTGTTTTCATCATTTGTGAATTAAAAATTGTCACTTGTTTTTATAATAACAAACCAGTAATATTTTCTGTCTCAAAAGCTTGATTTTTAGTAGAAAATGTATTAAAGGCTGAAAGAAATTGTCAGTGTAATTTCATTTACCGAGTTGGCCTTCCTTCAGAACATGATAAAAGAAAAAAGGTAGTCAGAAATGGGAAATGGGGGGAAAAGTATATTCAAATACATCATCACATTCCAATTAGGAAAAAAAACTCATTATTTAGATTTTAAAGCAATAAGAAATTTACCTTTTACCATGAAAAGTTAATTACGAAATAGCTCTGGAAGAATCATGTTACCTTGTAGATACAGGTAAATTTATACATTATTTTTGTTATGTGAAAAGCACGAATAGAATAATTCAGGCAGACTTTGGGTTTGGGCAGATAAGGTGTGTGGGTATACATACGTGCATTTGTGTGCATGCCATTGCTTATATACAAAAGAAAAGTCATCAATAATAATAATGGCAAATACTTGGAGACCTTCATACTATTTTAGTATCTCATGCTCCTTTGCAAGCCTGTAATATTGTGTATAATAATAGCAGCGAGGGGGAAAAGAGTTCCATAATTGTGCCAAGAGATATTTTTTCCAGCTCATGGGAGAGGCTTCTAATTAGATACTTAAAGTAAACGTGTTTCCCATGACACTAATTCCTCAAACATTGTTAGACTTTTTTTTTGTGTAAATACACAGAGGAGTCCACAACAGGTCGCTTTAGTAACAAAGAAAATAGAGTCACGTGTGGCATGCTCTCTCTGGTCTAATAAAATCCAGTGTTCAATACTGCATCTACATGAAGAATTGGAAAAGGGTAGAAAATAAGACTTTATGGAGTTTACTCTTTTCCTAAACTCCAGCCATTGGCTCTAATGATTGTGTTTTATAGAAAGCACTTCTCTAGCGCAAGATGAGAGAAGATGTTTAATAGGAACTTCAGTCTCTTTGTTGCAGTCTTGGACGTGGGGCATAGTTTTTTCGTTTTTTTTTTAAACAGAATTCCAGTATAACTAGTACAGTTCTGTTCAATGCTACTTTAGAGACCAAAAAAAAAAAAAAAAAAAAGCAGGGGGGACCAAAATAAAACAAACAGTCTTACAATAATGGTGTATTCGAATCTATTGGAAATTCACGAGCTGTAAACTCAGGCCAAGCAGAATCAGACTTAGTATTCCAGAGAAGGGAGAAGCACAGAATGCCTAATGAGACACTCTGTAACTGCTAAAGACAAGCGAGTTCTCCTGAAGAATCTCAATTAGTCTTCTCAGCCGAAGTTCTGTGGGCCAGCAGTGGCCTAAGTATATTCAGCTGGATTGAGCTTTTACAAATTAGCCTTATGTGAATATGGCCCTTAAATGAACTCTTTCATTTCCTTCATTTCTTCCCTTCTCCCACAGGGGAGAAAGAAAAAAAAAAACACTTTCATGGTGCTCTCATAAACAGAGTACTTGTAGAACAAGGTAACTGTTTAAAAACCACTACAATATAAATTTTAAAAAGTCTGGTTTTTTACTTTTTTTCATTGACCCTCACCTCTCTCTATTTTACTTCTTCTCTCAACATTATCAGAAAAAGTGTTTGGTAAAGATTTTTAATTACTGGTACTGGTAGCCAAATCTTTCACGTAGTTCTGATTTTAATCCATAATTAGAAATGTACCGTGAAATCTATAGTGACATCAAAATGACAAATGATGCTTTCGAGGCTATTATCAACAGGGACTTTCCAGAGGTGGAAATAGAAACCACTGCCAGGTCATGGTAGAGTGACCAGTGAAAATTCAGTATAGCATTTAAGGCCTCCTTTCTCTTCCTGGATGTTTTGAGACACTACATTTGGGTAATCTTAGATGCTCAAGTAAAACTGAGTCTCATAGATAGATAGGAACGGACCAGTAGGGATCATTACCTTTGGTCTTACTATTTTATGGATGAAAAAACCAGAATGATTGTGAATGCCTGTGTTACTTAATGGCACAGGATGGTAAGGAAGCCAAAGGCTGAAGAGAAGAACTATCTTGATTATAGTTACATTCTTTCTAAGTTTGTGATCAGTTTAAATAAACCATATTCTGGCATGCTCAGTAATACCATTTGAGGAAAAAAATATACATACTGTGGTCATCTGTAAACTAAATTCTTTAAAATTCTGTTGCGAATATACACAGCAAAACATGCACCAATTCAACTTTCTACGTGTACAATTCAATGACATTGATTGTATTCTTTGAGTTGTGCAGCCATTCTCACCTTCCTTTTCTGAGTTGTTCCTCCCCCATTAACATAAACTCCCCCTTAGGTTCTTATCTAATCTTTCCAAGTTGCTGTTTTCACTTTGATCCCATGCAGATAGTTCATAAAAGAGCATAATGCTTAAGGCAGACATTTTTTACTAGTTAAGCTAAACTATTGTTTGGTTTTTAAGAAGACCTTAGGGGTTATTTTTGGTTTAAAGTTTAAAGATTATTGCAGGGCAGTAGTTTCAGGGGTTCATCCAGCCCCCTTGGCTCCAGAAAGTCTGGAGTCCGTGAAAATTTGAAATTCTGTTCTACATTTTTACCCTTTTGATCAGGGTTTTTCTATAGAATCTTTGATCAAACTGGTAATAGATGGCCCACAACTACCATGGCCTCCACCAGACTGAGTCCAACAAATGGTGCCTGGCTACCACCACTGACTGCTCTGACAGGGATCACAACAGAGGGTCCTGGAGAGAGTGGGAGAAAAGTGTAGAACAAGATTCTAACTCATAAAAAACACCAGACTTACTGGTCTGACAGACTGGAGAAACTCCAAGAGTACGGCCCCTGGACACCCTTTTAGCTCAGTAATGAAGTCACTCCTGAGGTTCATCCTTCATCCAAAGATTAGACAGGCCGATAAAACAAGACTAAAGGGTCACACTAGCCCAGGGGCAAGGACTAGAAGGCAGGAGGGGACAGGAAAGCTGGTAATAGGGAACCCAGGGTGGAGAAGGGAGAGTGTTGACATGGGGTTGTTAACCAATGTCATAATATGTGTACTAACTTTAATGAGAAGCTAGTTCTGTAAACTTTCATCTAAGTACAATAAAAAAAATGTGCAGTAATAGTAGCTGGCCAGCATCCAGTGCTTCTGGTCTGGCAAAGGAGACAGCTAGATGTTCGTGGAGGCAACCAGACACACATTCTGTGTCTCCTTATGTTCCTGACTCCTCCTCTTCCTCAGTTGGTCTAGGCAGATAGAGACCAGTGGTGCCTTGGATGACTGCTTGCAGTCAAGCTGAGTTTATTTTTATGGCATATTGAAACCGTTTTCCTTTTATATGTTATATACATCTGTTGTGAATGTAGAGGTGCCAGACAGTAGCTACTGCTTTCTGCTGGTCTCTTCTAGTTCTGTTTTGTATAGATAGTAGTAAACCAGCCTCCCTCCCTCCCCACCAGCAAATAGACTGCAAAGGTTCCAGTTGCACCCACTGATGTTCCTGGACAGACCATTGTGTACATTAATCTCTAATATGGATATCTGCGTTCACTTATGTTCTAGAACTGTGCTGTCCAATATAGTAGCCACTAGCCCCATGTGACAGTTTAATTAAAATTAAGAATCCAGTTACTTAGCCATGCTAGCCACATTTCAAATGCTCAGTAGAGTCGTGGAGTTAATGGCCACCATATTGGACAGCGAAGATACAGAACATTTCCAACCACACAGAAAATTACATTGGACAATACTGTTCCAGAAGGTTTGTTGTGAGGGATAGCAACTGTAAAGTGCAAAATTAAAAAAGACCTAAAGCATTACATAATCAATTCTCTCTCTTGTCTCTTAAATCCATGACACTAAAAGAGCATAAAATCAAGTTCTGCTAAACTTGAATTTCTGTCCCACGTAAGTATATGCTCTCATATTGGGGCCTGGATGGTGGCAAATATGATTTAACTTCCAATACAACTCCCACCAAAATAACGTCTCCATCAAACTCATCAGTTGGGTTAAAACCAGTTTGAAACTGTGACTTAACCCTGAAAGTTGGCGGTGTTGTCTTTGGGGAATTTAGCAATGCTGTACTATGAGATAATGTAACATTTCAGAAGCGTGTGTCATAATATTCTTAACGTTTTAGGAATTTTCACTTTGTTGAGAGGAAAGATTTCCAAAGTCTTATTTTTACAACCATCTCAGCAATTATTGAAAGAAAGAAATGGTTCTAATTAGAGCTCTCACTTGGGATCCAAGCTCCTTCATCTTGTGTTTATGGTTTTTAGTAGCACCGTGTATGAAGCAGTGAAGATGTCAGAGAACCTACCTACCAAACTCTTAAAATGGAGCTAAAGTTAAGCCACAGATACAGGGAAATTGTCAGTGATCTCAAAGCAAGTCAGTAGGTCTACACGTAATTTCACCAGATGCTAAAGTATGGAAGATGACTTAGCATGTAGATACCGTAGAGTAGATGATCATGTTTTGGTTTTGTTTCTATCAGAATAATTATTTGGTTGATTTGAAGGGCCCCAGGCCAAATTTTCAGAGCTAGTGCTCATTTGCATAGTTGGCATGTATAATGTTCTAGTTGAAGATGATATTGTTGTATTTTCAACCCTATGGTCAAGGCTTTCTATTAATAAAAGTTATTAAAAAGTTCTAGGTAGAGAGTATACTTGTTTGTTAGTTAACCTAACCCAACCTATTGACAACATACTTCGGTTCAGACTTCAGCAAATCATAGGGTGCATAGGGTGAAGAAGCTTTGCCATCTAGAAAAACTGACGATACTGGCCTCCCATCTTCTCATTAAGAAGTATATTGAAATATGAAATGCTTCTCTCTCTCTTTCTGTCCTTCCTTCCCTCCCACTGGTCCGGCTTTCTCAGCAATTACTGTTTGCTTTAGGCCGATGAGTGACTACTTGCAGAGGCCGTAGTAGGATTTAGTGATACCCCTGTGTTCAAAGTGCTCAGGTTTCCTGGAGAGGATGGACTTACAGGGTAATCAGAGTCCTCTAGGGAAACCAACAACCTTTCTTTCATAAGGGAGAAATCCCAGTATTCTTGGATGATACAATTCTGATTATGAGGTTTCTTGAATTCAACGCCCTTATGCTAGGGGTGGAAACCCCGGAGTCGTAGTGGTTAAGAGCTTCGGCTGCTTATCAAAAGGTCGGCAGGTTGAATCCAGTCGGTGCTCCTTGGAAACTATGGGGTGGTTCTTCTCTGTCCTAGAGGATCGCTGTGAGTCGGAATCAACTTGATGGCAATGGGTTTTTATGTTAGGGAACCAAATCTGATGTAACATTTCAGACCTTTGAAACAAAGCTAACACTACCTAAGGGAATAAAATTACCATTGGATTCCAGCTCCCAACCAGAGAAAAACCATCCATTTGCTTCATTTCTTGTTATTGAGACTCGAAGTTTCAGTGGAATCATCTACAGTGCTGACAGGCGGCTACATCCTATGACTGCCCTCTCCGGTCATGCCCTGTGTCCTAACCTGTTGGTTTAGCCAGATTGATGGCCAGAGCATTGCCCGTAACAATGACTGGACCTCCTGACCCATCTCATCACTCTTGTCTGTGTCTTTAACATAGTCCGTCGGCGTTATAAGTGCAAACCTGCATCAGACAAAATGAGATTGCTATTTTAAATAATGGCGGTACTGAAACATCTACCGAATGGGAGCTTGGGAAGAGAGTTTAATCTAAACAGTCCATTAGAAAGATCTCCCATTTATTCTTTCAACAAATTCAGTGCATTTGTTTTCGGTGTTTTCGTGTGTGCCAAACACGTTAACCTCTGGGGATACATTAGTGAGCAAAACAAATACAATCCCTGCTCTCATGTTTCTAGCCTTGAGACTGGTAATGTGATGACCAGTGTATCTCCAGTTCTGACATTTGCATAAGTGAACCTGAAGTGGTCAATCTGAGGAGTTTTATTAGCATGCCTTTCAAGTCAGATACTAGTGTTTTGGTCTTGCCAG